GTAGTATGCAACACATGTTTTTAGTTCGCAATTATCTGTATGAGGTGGCCGATGAAATAAAAAAACTGCAATTAAGTGCAGTCGTGTGCTCGGTTATTTACATCTCCGAACCTGTTCGGATCGCCCAAGGATCTTATTACGAGAGCCCAGACACATATGGGTACGTGGATAAATTCTACTTGTAATAAATACACGATATATATATATGGCATGAGGTTAGATAATTGCAATCAATCGACAGTTATATTATTGCTGATACTAATTCGTTTAACTCAGAGAAAAATATACTATGAACACAAGAGAATAAAAAAATAGGTAATTTTGACAACGGATTAAACACTTTATAGAATATTTTTTTTATAAGAAAATAAAACAAACGCCGAAACGACGACGAGTTTCGTTTCATTCTGATTGGTCAAAATTTTAGTGAAATATAAACTATTTTATTTGCAATACCATGCTAAATTAGATTTATACATGCTAACATATTTTATGCATGTATTTAAATATGTTGACTAGCTTAATCTGTTTTACGTAAAATTATAGATATCGAGATTATTTAACAACTGCCCTTTATAAAAGCAATATCCAAGACAAATATCTCAATGGTTTATTCTACGAATATAGTATTATATTCTCGGCATTTTATATGATTTAGGTGAAGGCCAAGAATTCGGAACAGGCTACGTCGGACCGGTTTTTGCAACGGTCCTAGTAATGTTTTTTCATACATTCGATGTATCAAGCTGATGATTAAAAAATTCCAATTCATTCACCTGTCAAATTTTAAACCGCTTTGATAATAAGTTTAAAGTAACTAGAAGCATATTGAGTATGTGATACCGTAATTAATGGGGTATGTAGAACGTGTGTGTCTGCTTCATTGAATTATTATTTCTTTACCATACACTTTTATTTTAACATAGCCCCTAATAGCCTATCAGGCATGCGATCAGGTATATCTATGGCCGAGAAGCTAGGCAACAGTGTCATATCTCCCTAATATATCCTAAAAAGGGACTTTAATTGCTTAAACTATGTCTGATGGGCCTGGCGGGCGTCTCCCGCCGAGCCTTGGCGCAACTACTTCGGGAATATCCTCATGATATTTAGGAACAAGTCGGAGCCCACTGGCCGTGGCTAGTGATAAATTTGACAATTCTGTGGCGAAATTTTTCATTATACACTAACGCATACTACGCTGATCAATTCGCAGTACACACGTTCGGCTTTTTATGCCTAGCAAACTTTGTTGCTTTGGGATTCGAACCCAGTATATCTCGCAAGCAAACTAAATGTCGAACAGTACAATATATGTCCTATAAAAGCATTCAAAAATATGAGTCAGCCGTTCAAACAAATTGTTTTAATTTCATATTTTTACGTTGATAAATATTGTTGACCTCCATCGTAATTACACATTACTACGGAGCTATTAATAAAATAACTATAATTTAACGAGGACTTATCGAAATTCGTTTATCATTGAGGTTACAAAGGCCGATGTAATAACAGAAATGACATAATTATTATGTCATACAAACAATAATTTAAGCGAATTAATAATTGTTGTTCAATGGTGTTTTAAGATAGGTAATGGACACAGAAAAATGCTTGCTTTATTAATCGATTATCTTTGCTAATTATAAGAGGGGATTTATTTACAATTATTTAAGTTATATGTAAAAGTTTACTCAGATACCATTTCTACCTCAGAAGAGTCACACATAACACAGAAATCCTAGTCGGGATCAGCGTCTTTATAGCAGTAATTAATTCATTATTATCCCGCAATACACTTTTTTTTACAGTGTACTTTCAATGTAATTCGCCTTCAGTCAAAAGATAATTCAAACATTTCTTCGAATTTATGTTAAAAATAATCTAAAAAAGATATCCGTGTATTTAACATACTCAAATATAAAACACATATTCTCTGTGTAAGTTCTACCAAGTAATAAAAAATACACACAGCATTAAACTTTAAATAACGCTACATTTGGCAATATTCCATTTCGTAGAATATATCTTGATATGGAAATGAAAGCAATTATAATTAAATTATTATCTAAGAATTTCGAAATTTTATTTGAATTAACGAAACTCGGTCGAGGTTGAGACGTTTTGTTGGCAATTTCTCTGTTAAACTCGAAATAACAAGTCTAATAACCTAAAAACAGATGAGCCGAGCTTATTTTTAGCTTTGTTGTACGGGACGAACTAAGAGAACAGAAAATGTTTGACAAGTATGAAACGTCAAAGTCCGCGTAATATTTGCAAGAAAAAAGTCACAATCCCGAAGCCACACAATAGGATAGCTATCGTAAAAGTAACGAAAGATTTTTGTATGGAAAACTAAACAAGAAAGAGAAAAATAAAAAGAAATTGTTAAACCCTATTTAACGATTCAAACTCATCTTAGACAAATATATTTTTAAAAACAAAGTTGCCCGTTGACGAATTGATCATCTTTTAAGTTCATTTAAATTGGTTCAGGGTGAAGCGTCAATATCAAACTTGAACATGGCAAAATGGTACGTTTTTAATAATAATTATTCGAAAATTACTTCGATACCGCGTACTCCCAATGTTTTTACAAGTTTAAAAAGAAACAAACATATATTTTTGTAGACACGTAATGCATGACCGTGAGTCACAAAAACAAGTGAACCAGCATGTTTTATACAAAATGCACTTGGATATACCACGATTTTAGGTACGCAAATCTGTTAACTATTTAAAATTAATCAAATGAACAGCACCAAAGTGGATAATACTTTTTTTTAAACGTTATAGTCCGGAGAAAATTAATATAAAAAGAAAATCTAATTTGATGTCTTAATATGAATGAGCAAAACAGACTGAATAATCTTCAGTATTTTTCCAAAATAGAGATTTACTCAGGAACTAGGGGTTCGAACTCAAAGATTTAGTTTTGTGTTAGATATGAAGAATATCACGCTATGACCGAATTAACGCGGTTAAAACCGCAGGTCAGTTTTAATAAGGTTTTGTTAAGAAGTTGTAAATAAATCAATGTGGCACTAACGAGGCCTTTTCGTATGTATCGAATAGTAATTTGTCTTTGCTCATGTAATGCATTAGTCATAAAAACCTTGTGCTTAGATCGAAGGCAATATCCTGTAGTCGTCGAAATAGCTTCCTTTCCGCCTTGAACCTCAGAAATAGCCTTTGTTGACATGAATACACGCTTCCGCAACTATCTTACATGCGACTATTGTATTTTTTAATGGAAAATGATATGGGAATATACCTTACATTAAAGGGGAAATTGAGTTTTATGCGGCCAGCTAATATGCGAAAGCTACGTTAAGTGGACAGTAGTTAGGTTAAGATTTAAAGAAACTGTAAAAAAAATTAAAAATATCCGCCCAACGTGGGGCTCGAACCCACGACCCTGAGATTAAGAGTCTCATGCTCTACCGACTGAGCTAGCCGGGCTGTGGGAGAATTAACGAAATTATGAATCCAGTGATAGTTGAGTTTAAAATTAGATATTTGAGCATGTAATATATGTTATATTTAAATTTTAAACATTTAAAAAGTACAAACATTTTTTATAATACTTTGAAATAGTTTAATGATATCAGTCACTCTAATATGAAATGCTTATCATCAAATTTTGAATGTGAAAAAAATGTAGGTATACAGCATTCAATAACTAAGTAAAAATCAAATTTTAAATAGCAGTTGTAATTTTATTTATATCTAATATTTACAAAGTAGTTATATGATAATATTCAACAAATATCTTAAAAATTTACACCCTTGCCCCTATCAATCCTTGCCTTAACAATCTATTGTTAAGATAAATCAATTAAGCTTTGTTTTTCTAGATGAATTATATTTAATGACTAGCGGTGTTGAGTGATTTTCTCTATATCAATTAGGAAGTATTGTCCATCTATTAGCTAGTAGTTCCTGGTTGGTATAGGTGCATTTAGCCATAAAAAATATAGTTTGATCAAATCTTAGAAGATAAAAAGTACTTGTGAGATTTGATTTTAGGAACACAAGGTAACTTAACCTATTAACCAAATTTCAGACAATTTTTTCTTTTCTTTAGTTGTGTTCAATATTTATTTATTCAATAAATACATTATGAACAAAATTATACAGGTTTATGTCACAAAAATTTAATTGAATGTTGTGCCCAACTCTAATAATACTAAAATAAATCAAATTTCAATCAATATTCAAATCACTATCGGTGACTAATTTGTCTCCTACTAAATTCAGTGTTCCATGGACAAGGTCATTGACAAGGTTAAACAACAATTAGAATTAGCTTCTGTAATGAACTCCATAGTTATTGTAATTGTAAACAATGAGTCTTTTAACAAACATTTTGTACTAAAAAAGCAACATGTTAAGACCCAACAAGCAAGTTGTCTCATTAAGAATTTACATTTATGTTATTAAATATTTCAACAGAGCAAAAAAATTAAAATTAAAAATTAAAATTATGATTAAAAAAAGAGGATGAATTTTATTTCTGCTATAAAGATAAATGAAAATGGCTGATCCAAATTTTTAGTTAGATTATATGACACTACAATCTGATTACCATTGAGGCATATATGACATAATTGCTATAATTGATTAGTTATATGTAAAATAACAATAATATTTACAAATTTTACATAAATTTTTTATACTATTTATGTAGAAGAAAACAATAGTAGTAAACTGGTTTAAAGAAAAACAAAAAATATATGTTCTTAGTTTTAGAATAGAAATTCTACACATTCAAGTTAAAACAGTACCCCAAGAATTTAAACTAGTGTTTACATATGAAACAATAGTATTTAATCTAAAGATTATAATAATTAAGGATTTAATATTTTTGTTTAGTTAAAACTAAGGACTGTATATGATCTGAAGGATGAATCTCTATTTTCTTATAAGTACTATACAGAATCATTATTTCACATAAGTGTTTTCTCTAGACATATTTTATTAATATTAATGTATGTAAATTATATACTTACTTTGAAAACTTCAGAGAAGAATCCTGCTCCAATTTTCTCCAATATGAAGTCGTCAAATGGGTAAAGCGCAGCAACAGCAGTCCGCAGGGCCGTGCAAGACGAGCCCGTCACTCTTCGATCACCAAGTCTTTCACCATCACTACCACTTGACTCCGCACAATCATCATCACAACATCCACGTTTGCTGCGAGCCCCATTCTCCTGAAACCGTCTCCCGATCTTCGAATACGGCCCCCTTACGAACCGACCTGCTTTAGCAATTTCATCCAAGTTGGTAAAACTCTCAGCTATCTTTAACACCTTCGTAGGCCGCCGCCGCTCGAAGTTACTCCTCGTTTCCTCCGAACACTCGTCTTGCATTCTAACAGGTAATCAACAACTCGTACAGTTTATCCCGCTTCGAACATAATGATTTTCGATTGTACATATTAACGAAAGCATCACAATATTTATGTGGCGGTACTTGAAACTATGCGAAATAACATTGTTATTCTCACAAAAAAAAGAACTTATCTTTAATAAACCGCTGTCACTTTCACATAACTACGACGCATCCCAGATTTTTAGGTTTAGAATAATGTTTGATACGAATTCGATTAATTTAATGAAACTGTCTAATACACAAATAAAATATCTTAACCGAACAGTCTCATTGACTGACGACGCGCGTACAAAACCAAACTCCGAAGCAAACCATGCATTTCAATTTTCAATTTCATTTCGTACATACATTCCACAGCTTAAATATAACTCTGTGTATGACACTGACAAATGCGAATTGACAATTGACATACTATTTTTTTTTTCCTTTATGGCTCTGGCACGGTTTGTGCATTAGCCAATGACATACTATTATTATGACAATTAAAAATACAACTCCACAGACTATGTTAGTGTGGCCATCTTATAACAGTTAATTTGATACAGGGTAAAAAAATATTTCATATAATAATTCTAAAAAAAAATTTTTTTATCTGATTTGTTCAGTCTTTTATTTACTATTGATATCGAGCCAGCGTTTTTGTTTCTAGATCCATGGACATTATTTAAAGAAGTTAACTTGTGGATGAAGGATGTTGGCCGGCCAGCCTAAACACTGACTGCCAGTCCAAAAGCTTCAACTAAAGATATTGTAAAAATGCTTAACGTTTGGAAATTATTTTATAGCGCAATTTAAGGTATGACGTCATTGTACTGTTTATAGGCGCATATTGTACTTGTTGCTAGAAACACAATGCCTACGATTTTTAAAGTTATACTTCTTTTGACGCGTAAGAAAAAAGGAAAAAGAGTAATTTTTTACGACCGCGCACACCGTCATAAAAAACCGACACCCTGAATATCTGTTCAAACGTCGGTAAAACAGTTAGGGCCACTGGTTGGCGCTTGCTCTGTTTTATGGACAAGTTGCATTGTCTGTCATGGCGTAGTGTTTTTCAGAGTCATGTTTATTTAAACCAAAATAATGATTTCTAAACGAGAAAACCCGTTGCAATGTGATAAAAAAACATAGTTTTATCGTAAAATATCATGATTAGTACATATAATATCGTTTCGATTGGAAGTGACCTGTAAAATGGATAAGAAAAATGCAATTCGAAGAGGGAAACGTCCCTCTAAAGTGCTCGAAGAAAATTAATACGCCAAAGAAGTACATAACCTCTAACGCGTGTACAAAAGTACAGACACGTTTTTTTTAGAATGGTGGAGAGGCAAAGAAGCTTACTGGACAGTCGTAAAAGGCAGTCACCGTAGCCCATGAACACCTATTTAGTGAGTCTTAGCGGTAAGAGTAAGCTTTCTCCCAAAGAAGGCCTTCACTGGGAGTCAATTCCATATATTGCCAGTAATAAATAGTAGTTATATTTAACAAAGTGTGGAGGAAGGATGGTGTATTTTCTCCATCTTAAAGGAAGGAAACTCTATCAGCCTTACCACTGACTGGCCGGCTTGAAGGCCTCATTGGCTAAGTGGATTGAGCAGTTGTATATATTAGCGGTGTGAATAACGCGAATAACAGCGTATAACGTAATTTTAGTGATTTGTACACACTTGTGCACATTATAAACTTGCTTTCTCTTTCCTTTTGCAGTAATACATGTTGACATGTGACTTATATCTTAACTAAAATTGAATATGCAGATGTTATTAGAGTCGTAGTTAATTATGTAATTCACGATTGTATTATTTTAACACCTTTAAGAGAATTTATGACATTTTTTTTTTGTTAAATTAAAAAAAAAAATTCAGATGCTGGTAGCACTGCTCATTCTGGATAATATTTTTTGACTCAATTGTCAGGATACAGATAAAGTCACATCTACGACTCTGGGGTTGACATTCAGAACCGAGACTTACCTATTTATTTATTTATTAAGGAAACTAAACAGATACATCACTATACAGAAAAAATAAAATAAATATAAAACATAAAATAAATAGACACATTGGAGATATCCACACACTTAGCACAAACTGTGTTGACATATTACTGTCAACATCCATCACATACGTTAATTTTTATATTCAGAAACGCTCGACGTCAAACTTGGGCCTAGTTTACGCTAAGTCACAATGTGACATTGTACAAGGCCTGAATCTGACTATGCATGACCTACGCAAACTCTTACATAGCCCAATGGATAACCTAGGCGTCCACACACCACTTTGTAAAGGCTATTATTATTATTATTTATATTATAAGGCTAAGGCACTATCCCCGTTGGTGCGTAAAAGCACAAGTTCTGGCGGTTCAGGATGATCCAATATCGGATCGACTGTTTAGTTAAGGCCCTTCAGGCCACCAACGAGATTCCATTAAAAAAAAGGGTGCGTGTACTTATGTACGCGCGTAAAAAGTTATACTTCTTTGGCTTTCTTTATTTCTTAAAAATATTAAATAATTAATAATAAATATTTAATAATTTAATAATATTTAATATTTAGTATATTATTCAATTATTCATTAATATTAATAATAATTATTATTTATTATTTTATTATATTATTCATTCAATTTAATAACTAGGTATGTTTCATAACATTTTAATTAAGTAACAATAGGTCTTTGTGAAAAGGCATTGCTTAATTTCTTTGAAAAAATAATTAAAACTCCTTTATTTTTTTAAAAGGTACTACAAAGGTCATTATGGTCATTCAAAATTGTTGGCATAGCTGCTAACTTCACGCATATTCTATTTCTTTTTACTTAGATTACGTACGACGTTACGTAGATTGTCTTATTCCCATCTCGCTCGGCGCCCGGCTGGTTTAAAAATAATTCGTTTGTGCCCAACTTCATACTGATAATTTTGTGTCACGGTGCGCGCGCATGGTAAAATTTCATTCTCATCTATTTTTCATAACGCGCCAAAAGAAGTATAACTTCAAAAACAAATAATAATAATTCCGCCAAGGGACAAAATCGGCGACATGAGACGTCAACGACTAACACAAACATTGACATTACACAAATAAAACATTAAAATACTGACTACTAGCATCTCGAATACGAATATTATGATGAATTGAAACAACGTAAGTGATGAATTTTGACATACGGGAGTCATAGTGTGTATTAAGGGTGCGATACAGAAACGAGACTTATTGCATTTTTATCTGTCTTCACAGAATAGTAAACACGTTTCTGTGTCATACCATAAACAATACTCCACGAAGTTTGACAAGAACAATGTTTTGAATACGATTATGTAAACTTGCTTGGCAGCTTAGCTCTTAGCTTAGGATTTCGATCGTCTCACAATAAACTCTGACTCTTAGCCGAAAATACGATATTCATGAGTTTATTTAATATCTTGGTCTGTGTTATTGAAGTTGTACTTCTTTAGGCGCGTTATGAAAAATTGATGAGAGTGAAATTTTACGATTGCGCGCGCACCTATGACACAAAATTGGCAGTGTGATATAGCGTGCGCGAGCGAGATGGGAATAAGACAAACTACAAGTAAAAGAAATAGAATATGCGTGAAGCTAACTTCACGCATATTCTAGCTTAGCAGCTTAACAAGAATTTTGAATGACCATGACAATTGACATCTGACAATGACATTTACCTTTTAAACAAATATAGGAGTTTTAATTATTGTTTAAAATTAATAATTATATACCTAGTTATTTTCATTATACAAAATATTTGTGAAATAATATAAAATATTTGTGAAAAAACTGTGCTAACCTTCCTGAGTGCTTCAATACAATTGAGGTTAACTATCCGTATGTATTATCGAGTATTATTGTTGATTAAAACTGAAACATGAACCATTATTCATTGCTTTTGTTTATTGCGTTTGTTACAGCAACTTTTTAGAAATATTCTACGACCCTATATATCAATAATTGAGAACAAAGATTTAAGCACGAATACTAATAAGGAGAAAATGAAGGCTTGGAGCGATATAACAGAGAAGTAAACATTTTAATAAGTACCTGCATCTCAAAAAAATGACCACATTATTTAATCAAAACATCAGATTTAATCTAGCAAATATAAGGACAAGAGACAAAAAACAATTGATGAATCATTGGAAGTGCACTAAATTGAATACAAAAAAAGAGTTGTCATCTTATCGCCGTGAAACATCAAAAACTGGAGGTGGAACAAAGCCACCATCACCTTCTCGAGACACAATGGTTTGAAGTAGATTTCAATGAATTTGATTGTGATGGTGTCGAGGTAGGAATGTTAATTATAAATATGATGTATGGTGATGTTCAAGGTTCAACCTTTCAAGCATAGGCATATGCTTACAACATTACTTTATTCCCCTACAGGGTAGTTAGAGATATTGTAATACCTCAAAACATCCATGTTGCACTTGTAGTACCGAAACTCTGTCCTGCCAGAAGTGAGCCCATTCCCACTTATAATGGACAGTGGGTATAATACACCTTAATACCTGAGTGCGAACCACTCACCATGATACTTAAATTAATAGATGTTATTTATATATTTCAGGTTATTACAAATAAAATCATTTTGGAAACAATTGATATCCCAAAAGAAAATAAAGCCAACAATGACAAGGTAATAAATCAGTTTTGACATAACTTGAATACTAAAAAAGCCAAACAAAGGTGTGCACAACAGTGACAACATAACTTAACAATTTAATTATTTTGTAGGATTAAAGAAAGGTTAAAGAAAATCATGTCGAACTGAACAACAAGAATCCCCAAACAACTCCAAAGAAACCTACAAGGAAGACACCGGTATTATATTTAAATTATCTCTATCTCTAAATAGAATAAAAGAAAGTTGCTATCCAGGTCTGTAGCATGTGCTACAAATTATATTATTAACACATTTATATAATTATATTAATATAAATGTGTTAAAAATTTATAATATGAATTATAAAAAATTTTAAGTTTTGCATGGACAGAGCTTAAATTAATATTCTCTTATTTGTTGCAGAAAGCAAGTAGTTTTGGAGAAGCCTCGTAGATGCACAACCAAGTAATGATTAATTTAAAATTACAAACCGAAATTCTGATGAAGACATTAGAGTCACTTAAAAATAAATAGTATAATGAAATAAAAATGTTTTAAAGATAAATAGTGTTTTATTTGTTTAATGTAAGAGAATAATAATAAATATTTATTTAATTAATTTTTCAAATGTAAACTGAACTTTATTGACTTTAATGACTCCTTTTCCAGTCTTTGATTATTTAATTGTAATTAATTATTTGCATGCAATCAAAAACTATTTTTAATAATGCCAAAGAAGTATAACTTCTTACGCGCGTACATAAGTACACGCACCCTTTTTACACTATGGTGAGTGGTGACAGATGTCAATATAGTTTCTTTTGAAAATAAGTGACATTCTAAGCAATCTCATCAAATTAATAAATTGTACAGCAGCCAGTACAAAATAATTGATTATAGAGTTATTAGTAAATAAAAAGCAATTGTATTTTGCACTTTAATTTATTAATCATGCAGCTGACGTCTATATCCTTAATTAATTACCATACCTATATCACACATTGGAAACAACTTATTCCAGCAAAGACCGACATAATATTAGTTCTCGGTTAACGTTGTTTCCTGGAAATAATCTCTTTCACATAAAAAATAACAACACTAGCTCAATTATTCACAACTGTCTACCTAATTGCTATTAAAAATTTAACGCTTAATAGCTTTTAATACAAATATATTATTGCTGTCGCGAATTTATAACTACTTAATTATAACTAAACTATACATATCTCAAATTGAGTATTCGTTTTCACTTATCTATCTAAAATTTATATCTAAAACATTTTACTTAAATACTTAAACTAGTATTGCTTGATGAAGGAAAAGCATTTTCCTTGTTTGTAACAAATTACGTAGTTTAAAAGTTATATTTTGCCATCAGATGGCGTCTTAACCAACTTATTGATAAAGCCGTATTTCCCTATTTTGCTATGGTACTGGTTTTCTCCCGCAAATACAACAATTATCGTCAAGCAACAAGCAGCAATTTCGACCGATCTGTGCCATACAATATGTTTCTAGGTAAATGTAGAATAATATTCACAGTCGAGACTTGTATGACTACCGATGAGATAAATATGAGCTATGTATGACTATTATAGGTTAAAAACATTGGATTTATTAAACGGAAGTCATAGTACGCGCTAAGTATCTGTGGCCAAAATAATTAGTCTCTCTCTGTGGAGTTAATCATTTAGGCCCGTATTTCATGTTGTTTTCAGTGTGACAGTTCTTGGGGGAATATTTTTGTTCTGCCTTGCGATTCTGTAACAATAGACTGCAAGTTCCCTCCTTATCAGAATGCCAAATCGTAAAATGACTGCTTCACGACTGATTTGAGCGCGACCGCCGCTGCGAAAACCGCTGTGTGAGTTACAGAATCGCAAGGCTGTATTGACAACTTTTAACCTTAAATTAAACCGTAATGTGTGCTATCTATAGTGTATTTGCGGAAGTCTTAAAGGTACATGAGATGACAAGTCTTTTAAGCAACGATCAAAATAATCTAAATTATAATTAAAACATATTCGATAGACCTAGAAGATGCAACATGAATATAAATAAATATACTCAACAACATTACGTCTATAAAATCGGTGAAGCTCAGAAGGATACTATTTTAAGAATCTGAATTGATTTAAATTACCCCTAAATATAATTTGCTCGATAAAGAAATATGCTAAATTATTCTAGCTACGCAATAACTTGTAATGATAATTTTGTACACATTTTAAGCTTCACGTGTGTTTTACAAGAATGAAAACAATGACTTAAATTTCGATGTTCATTACCTGTTTTTGTAAATTTTTAGACTAAAATTATTTGAAGAAATGCTAAAAATAAGCTTAGGCAGGAGTCAAGACCAATAGTAAGGGTTCAAAATCAGGAATTGTAAAAGTACTTCTCGGTCTTTACGTATAAAAAAATAAATTATGTTTTATTAGAATCACTCAAGAGGATACAATTTTTTTTCCAAAAATTATTTTCGGTAGGTATACAAGAGATATTTCGGCATTGTTTTCATGTTTGCTTTGCATGGCTTATGTAATATTTGATACAGTAATTAACGATGTTATACGCTGTGTAATACAGAATGTCCTAATAAATAACAATGTTACAGTCTTCAATGCTGTTTGGTTAAAGCTATTATTCTCTTCGACTCCTTGCACTGTTTAACCAAAATCTTATATAATCGTACAATAAAACTCGTATAATTCATAGTTTGTCCACTTGTTGTATTTAACAAATAAACAAAATTTACATTCTTAGGGTGAGATTCAGAAAGAAGACAGCGCCAATTTGACAATGACATACGGAAGTCACACAGTGCTTAGTGTTTCTGAACGTGAAGTATGAAAATCCCATACGTCAAAAACGTAATGACTTTGACATATAGACGAATGAGGCGCACAGTTTATATGAATAATTAATTGTTAGCTTCGCAATATATGTTTTTAAATTAGCAACAGGAAGTCGAATAGAATATTTTTGTCTAGATACTATTGATGTGCGTTTACATAGTCTGTGAAAAAAAGATTTAACTCCGCGAGATGGCGTTGTCCGTATGATCATTCGATTGGAAGCAGAATTTTTGCTGGTCAATCCGTAATCAATCAAGGCGGACCACGTATGTTTAGACAAAAATAAATGTCATACTTGGTTTTGCATTTATTATGTTACAATACAAACCACCAGATTTTTATACGAAATAAAGAACGAATTCTTACCGAAAAAGACAGATTTCAAATAGCTTTGTATTTAAAAAAAATTAAAACCTGGAGTTCTTCCAACAAAATGATTGCTATTTCTTGTTTTTTTTCTACTTTGAATATTTTTTTTATTTGTTATTACATATTTTCAATCTCCGAATTTGAATGTTTATTCACAACCATTTTCACCAACACTCAACCCCCAAGTTTCACACTTATTTATAAAAAAAACCCGTCTAATTACACTATTTTCATCAAGTATAGAATACAAATAATTGAGCTGTATTAAACTACAAGTGACAACCTGTCTTTCTTCAATGTGTTACCAAAGGACTTCTATATCTTCTCTGCTATATGAGCAGAGGTTCAAATAACTTGGGGAAGCTTGTGGTGACCGGTAGACCGCGACTCCCAGGGTCGACCAAGTTAAGGTCCTCACAGGCGTTATTAGACAGGCGCAAAGGCTTGCCGAAGAGAGTAAGAAATGGAGGAACATATGCAACGCGAACACGATCTTCAGTAATGAAGAACGCGATTACAGAAGATTAATGTCAGTTTTTGTCAGTACGTTCGTATATGGAGACAACGCGATTGAAACATGACTCTTTAGTTCGTAATACGCCCACAGAGGGCTGTCCAAGATCCATAGAATTGTATTTGTATAACGTTAACCATATGAACGTATACAAGGGAAAACAGTGTAAAAAGACTGATTTAGCTTTCATAAAGGTTTACTTCAATTTGTTAAAGCTGTAACAATTTAATTTATACAATTATTTCAATTCATACACGAAAGGTTACAGTAATGATGTGCGATGATGAATAAAATTAATAGTACTTAGGCTACTTAAAAAAATATTTTTACATAATGATCATAAACAATTTTAATGATACAATGAAAAATGCACCTATTTTTCTATATTTTTATAGCAATGCTTAAGAACTTAAAACGTGGACTAAAGATGTCTATGTGCTATGGTAACAAGTTTTTACAATGATTTAAAGCAGTACTTGTGGAATTAGTAAGTATTATTAGTTAATTAAGCAGTAAAAAGTAACTTAACCAAGTGCTAGAATAGCAACTTGAATGGTTAAAAAACATTTTAAAAATTGTAATAAACATGATTTAATTAGTCCATGTTTTAAGGCCGTTTTTAGCACATAGGTTGGCAAAAGTTGCGCAGGAGTTTCACGATGTTAATAAAAGTACGAGCGAAGTCTTACCAAGTTAGGTGCCAACTAAAAAATAGGGTAAGTTTTGACAAATGACTTAATTCATCCATCATCTTGGTATAATGTAATGGAGAACAATAGGCGCGATGTAGATGATATAAGGAGACGGTATTCTTATAAGTGGCTGCTTATTAGTTTCGTCCTGACATTTCCCTGTAATAAAATATTTTTATATAAATCACTCGTGCTATAAAACAACGTAGGACCTAGTCAAAGACAATGTAACCTGGCCCTCTGCGATAAATGTACACAATGCAAAACAAATTATTCAATTCGAACCTGTAGATTAATATAACAGATGTGTTTTAAGGGTTTAAATCTCAAAAACAGACCCGTTTCTGTCTTAAAATAACTCATTAAATTAAATGTTAAAATTCATTGTAGTGCAGAATTATAATTTGATATATTTTTATTTCCTTCTTCCATTATCTAGTCTTACACTTCGCCTGCGCTGTTTAGTGCAAAAATAACTAAACAGATAAAAAATATATACATTTCTGATAAACACTAGGATGCAAGAATATTTAATAGTTTTGCCGAAGCCCAGTTTAAAAGAAAGCTTTGTTTTGTATTCATGTTCAAAGACAAATCACCAACCCAAAATTATGTTATAATAAAGTTTTTATTATTATTATTTAATTTTTTAAGCTAATCTAAAAACAATTAATTCGACCTAAATTTCTTGTCAATCATAAAATCAAACGAGGATTCCAGTTTAATATGGAAATAAATATTTGTGCGCGTATAACCTTTCCCTTCTCATTTAGCTATAAACGAAGCGAATGAACGACCACTGACCAGTAAACGAAGCGTCGAACAACAAAGGCTCCGGATCGACACCACGTTCACAGTTGGTGGCACTTTGCCCCACAGCGAGAACCCCTTCCCTCGCATCTCGCGATACGAAGCAGTATCGTCTCGCTGCCGTACTGTCGCGCGTCACGGGTGTCGTAACTACGAATGATGCGCCGTTCTCGTACCATCCACCGTGGCATGTATATGCTGTGGAAAGTATACAAAATTGGATTTAAATTGAATTGATATTTTATATATTAAAAGTAACTGTATTTAAAAATAGACCTGACAGCATTTTTAATAGTTTTATTAAAAAATATATTTTAATCAAAATACGACCCGAAAACTGTTGGTTTGGAAGCTAACAATTAGGATAACATAACATTTTTATTTAAAAATGTATTTAACATATAAAATTTACGAATATATATATGTATTGTATATATAAATTAGAAAAACCATTTCGACAACTAACTTCGTAAAATAAATTTTTTATTACGGTTTACGGTTAGAACTCTAAAAAAAAACTTAGTCTAATCTTATAATAGACAAAATTCAATAACAGGTTAATATATCGACTATCTATATATAATAATACTATTATTATTACCTGTAACTAATTCTTTATTATCACAAGTTGAATAAAATTCCATATTCTTAGCTGTGTTACACCCTACTTCCAGCTTGCTATATGTACTGCTGACACAACTTATTTGATCATTCCTCTTATCCCTCAGAATTGGCGTCTCCGATATATTCCTAAGGCTAAAATTGAACATTCTAGAACTGTTTGCTCTATGGTTATAATTTACGGGGTTATCTCTTCGCGATCGTAGTCTGAGGTTATTTGATATGCTTCTCTGGTGTCTGTGGTTTGAGATTGTGTATTTCCCGGAGTATGGGCATTCCTTGGATTCCGGATTACTTGCTGAAAATAAAATTGTTTAATAAGTTGCCTAGCATAGCAATCTTGGGAGGGAAATATTTTTTGATGAAAACGAGTAAGAAATCTCTCTTATTAAAGATATTTTAAAGGACTTTATCATAATAAAAATATTTTTATTTAAATTTGTTTAAAAAAAAGCGAAGCTAGCGAGCTATGGCAGACTGATGAACATCATCTAAATGATTAAATGTCATAAATAATCTTACCAACTAATGTAATATAAGGTGCGGTAACAGCATTAAAATGGTGAGGAGAACAGGCATCATCCGGTCTGGATGTTGGTGATCCGCGTTGCAGTTCAGCTATGTACGTATCCCGTCGGTATAATACCACGCAAACGTAGCGAGAGACGCTGGAATCATAAATTTGTCACTATAGTAATTTTTGAATATAAAATATTACTAATTTATATTAGTTTTTGTATCATTCTCTCTTTCCAAAATGGCTGGCTTATTGGCCCGAAAGGGGTTCTTACCTTTAGTTAACAAATAATTTAAAAGATTTAATCATTGTAACAAAATCTTCATATTCATTTTTTTTAATTATGTAGTTAATTTTAGTAAGAAATTAAAGATATTAAAGCTATTTTTTTATTTTAATTTAATTATACTGCATTGTTCGAAGTTACAAAGGGCCGATAATCAAGGAACGAGTTATATATTATATTATTATATATACCCAAGCCAGAAATCGAGATTAAGTTAAAGTTAGAGAATTGGACATTGATTATATAATCAAATAACTTTGCATAACAATTCATATTATGCCTCATTTTGAAGCAAACATGAAACATGAGTCAACGGGTAGGAATTTAAACCATAAATAGGCGGTAAAAGTATTTACAGAGAACAGTAGTAAATTTATAGGTATTTGAACATGACAACTCAAAACTGTGACTAATCTCCATGACCCTTTGATCTACCCTTAGGTCAGTCTCAATAGAGTTTAACCGCTATGACCGAGTCGGTATATTACATATGAAGAACCTCAGCAATTATTGATACTGAGACTAATATAAATAGAAAATATTTAATTTATAATACACAAATTAGAGTATTTACAATATTCTTAACCTAAATAGTAATAATATTAATTAAACACAAAAAATTTAAACAGATTGAAAAAGCATATCCTCGCTGTATTGCGATACTTAGTTTATACATAGTTTTAGTTCTAAGGCATTTATTCCAATAGATTATAATTTTTTAATCGGAGATTCTAGCAAGTAGTTACTTGAGATTCAACTAGTATGGGTATGTACATTTATTACCAAAATAATAGGTAGATAACGATATGGTTTGTAGTATTACATGTGATTATCCATTTTTCATTTTAAAATTGTCGACAATATTAAACACTAATTTGTGAAAACAGACTCATAACTATGAATTCTTACCTAACATTAAATATTAATTAAAAAGTGATATCATACCAATGGTGTTGCCAATGCGCAACCAATGCGACGGAATTTCCACTCGGCGAACTAGCCTTCACATTGACGCAGAATACTTTTACCTCCGCACCGGTATGGTTCGTTATACGGAGCGTCGCATTTCGTTGGTAGAACGTGTAGTTACTCGTAAAGTCCAGGGTGTGCCACGTGTGAGAGAATGTCATCCAGGAGGGGAACTGACAGTTGAATTTTACTGAAACTGACAGATAAGAAGAAATTTAATGTTATATACAATCAGAGCGGTCACTGTATATGGCATTTTAAATTTAATAAAATATATTTACTTTGTAAAGGAATTTTAATGTAACCCTTACTTTGGTGGCGATGGAACCGCACCAGTTGTGAACCGTACTTTCTTTATTTATAATAAAAAATTTAATAAGAAAATTAATAGTAATATATTTTAAAAAATATTTACAATAACTGAAACGTTAAGTCTACTTTGTAAAGTCACGCAACTTTATTTATTTTAAATAAATTAATTTCGTCAGAAATGTTTATTTTCAATTAACATAAGACTACTTATTTAGACGTCGTTTCCGTAAATATAAAAAATCTGGTTTCATAAGTATTAATCAACGGGCGGCCTTATCGCTACCAAACGATATTCTTCAGTTAGTATAGTACAAGCAGTACATAACTAAATTGATAAAAAGGCAAGGTTAATCGAATTAAACAATACTAAACTAAAAAAAATTATAATAAAAAGTAGAAGTAGTAAATGTAACAGGTAAAGTTTTAATTTTTTGTTTATTCTTAGAAAGAGATTATTCTATTTTACAAATATCTTACACTTAATTAATTAATAATGTTTTCTGTACTCGAGAACCAACTATTCTGTAACTGCGTCGTAGATATGCTTTAGTAGAAAAACATAAATACCTCTTTTTAAGGCCATGGTCCTAGAACCTTCAGTAGCACTGAACAGACCGTTACAAGTTGCGTCACCAGACTGAGCTACTCTATATTCCACTCCACCAGGAGTCACAGGATTATCCTTCAACCCAGGTGCTGAACCTGAAATTAACGAAGATATCTTTTGCATATATACAGCAATATTATTTCTATAGATTTTTTAATAATTTAGCTGATATATTTTATTCATTCACATAAAAGCATTTGTTCTATTTGAACACAAGAACCAAATATTTTCCCTTATAGAGTCTATATTGGACACTATATAAAGTTATCTTTATAAGTAAAATAGGTTAGACTTAAATTACTTATTAGTCTTAAGGGGCCATTTAAGTATTACGTAAGCAGATTTACTGCAATTTATTCCATCCCCCTCCCCCTCCTCTTATCAGCAAAAGTAGGCAAAGCTCTCAAAAATAATATGTAGTACAGAAACGTATTAATTGTTAGTAGGAATCCCTGAAAATATATTTCGTTTTCAAACATACAAAATGTGAGGATAATATGTGTAAAAAAAGTCAATAATTACTATTGACGTAATCAGCAAATAAGAAAATCAAAGACAACCCCCCCTAACCCTATAGTGCTTACGTCATACTTGAACGGCCCCTTAAAGTGAGGCTAGATTGTTATTTTCAATAATATTTTAGTAAAGACTTTTTATAAAATAACATTAATAATAGATTGTAAGATTCGTTAAGTTAAGTTATAAACAAAATTCACACTGCAGTCGAAACATTTAATGCGAATACTATACTGTAAAAGAGACATTCAACATTTTAACAATAGCAGCGTTTAAATGGCTTATTTGCTAAGCATGCACAGACTTCAATGGGAACTTCAAAAGCATTTTGTGTCATACGACAAAAATACTCAATGTAGGAGATTGACATGATTCACTTTGGCAATTGTATTAGTCATTATCGCTTCTACACATAGTCAAAGCCTTTAGTTAATTTAATAATTATTATTTTATCAATAAATCACTATATTTATAAATTATTATTTCGTACAGATTTGTTTTATTAGAATGGCGACCACGCAATATCATAGACATCTTAGATGCTGTAAATTGTCAATGTGTCAAAGTCAATTTGTCTCAATCACAATTGTCTGTAGTGCGTGAATCGATCCTTGATCGATGCCTGCGCCGGAAGTGCGACCTGACTTATTTAAAAATAAAATCCAAATGTCGAATGACGATAGTGATTACTAACTGGTTAATATTAATCGCTTCGAATCGACATCTATAACCATGAATATCGTTAAAGAAACGGCCTACATCTATTAAGAAGCGGGGTAACGTAAAAGCGAAAAGAAAAGAAGAGTTAAGTCTTACCAATACCATTTGTCTTCTCGTAGACAAAGCATCTGTAGCGGTCCTCATTGCTCGTGGCGTGGTTATGATGGAGCTTCCCCACCAGGAACCTGAGACTCCCCTCCTTCCACGTCGCAAGACACTCTAACTCTTCAACTGAAATAATGGTAACACATAGCTGAAGTAATAATAATAAATCAAGATAGAAATTCGAAAAAAATAATGTCTGGGGTGTTGGCTACAGTGACGAATTACTATTGATACTATTTGTATCATTTTGTAGTTATATAGTAAACATGGAACATTGTACTCCATATAATACCATTTTTCGTCAGTTAAACACTAATAAAAATCCTGTAGCGCTACAACCTTCTTCTTTGATTTAGATTCCTGTATCTGTTTCGTATATTTTTCTTAATAGTCAAGTAGTTGATCAGCCTTGCTTGACACACACCTTGAGTCGAAGGCAGCCGGAGATCATACGAAATGAGAGAAGCACGCTGAAGCCACTAAGGAATCGCTGCTGATTTAAGTCATGCACTCAGTGCAATTTTTTGACTAATATTCATCTTTTTATAAACTAAAATATCTTATCGGAGACATACACATATTTTAGATTCAAAAAGTTCATAAAATGTGTAAAAAAAGTTATTTTTACATACATAACACAGCTGTCCGATGACATATTTAAATTAAAGTCGTAAACAAGCTATTCATAGTATCCAAGAAAATTATCAACATTATTTTTCCTTGAGTTTCCAAGTGGCATTCTTAATTTAAAACTATAGAATGCAAGAAAAGCGGGACTTGTAGCTATTTTAAGCTATTGCAGTGAACAATCTCTTTGCGGCTATTACGTCGCGACACGCTCTCAGATTTATTCCATAAATAAGCTGACTTCACTATTAAAGTCGCTGAGAAATGGAAAAATATAATTAATTGCACGTCTGGAAAATAATATTTAACATTGTCTTTATTTGTGTTTTCATCATATCAATAGCAACTATTGTTTACTCGAATTTATTGGGATTATATTCGCGTAACCTTTAGGTATAAATTCACAGAATATTATTAAAAATAATAGTGTTATAAAATAATAGTGTTAAATAGTGACGCCCAAAGAGGGCAATCATCGTAGCTCATAGACACCATTTTAATGGTTGCGTTGCCGGCCTTTGAGGAAGGAGTATAAATTTTCATAAAACAAAAATTTATGGAATTTATTTTTCTCGTAGCTTGCTCAGAAATAAACTATATTCAAATAATACAACGGTAAGGTAAATTGTCTAAAAACTATCAATCAGGTCAAAAATCAGAAAAAAAACAGAGAAATATTAATTAGTAAATTAATATATAATTGCTTTTCATTCTACTATATTATTGAAATACATATCGTAAAAAAGAACAAAACCAACCATAGTGACACTTCTGATTAAGATTAAACCAATATTAAAACGTATTAAATGTGTTGTATGAAAGTTTAAAAGCGCGGATTCTAGACAGGATTGAAAAATGTAAGTGAAAAGTCAATTAACCTAGTCTATTGAAGTCGCGGCGAACAAAAGGCAGAGACATAAATTTTATCGAAACAATACTCGAGTGACAGACCGCCTACGTCAGCGTCTGCGATACTTTGTTTTATTGTAGCTTAATTTCCTATTCAATTGCGATTATAAATGTTCACTTTTATCGTTACGCCTCTAATAAAAACTATTGATTTGATATTTTATAGTTGTTTATGGGTGAAATGGCAAAACATTGTGTTCGTTTGACCGTGTCGACGTCTCGCGTGCTTCAATGAATTGTCAAGATTTTTATTGTAGGCTTTCTTATTCACAACATCAATTGTCAAAACCGTAATGGGTTTAATGGACTAGCATTCTAGTAAGAATTAATTGTTAAAATTTTCAAACAAAATCCTGCGATTGCAAGTGATATCAATCAAAGGATTTTCCCAGCAGACCGAGACGCGAAATCAAGATTGAACACTTAGTTTAAGACTCGATGCGACGAGCACAATTTTACTTCTAACTTTGGTAACTTCGATTCAAACTGATAATTTAATCTTTGGTCGTATGGACCATTGCTTTTTTTAATCTTCATATAATTCTTTTACTGATGTTTCATTACCGCGTTTACGTCTCTGACAGTAAGAGTCAGAGTCAGAACTGGCCATATACTCCGTCATTGATTAATTGCTTAGTTTTTTTTGTAAGGAGCTGCAAACATCACATCATGTTCAGAGGAGTTGTTCGGACCTGCAGCTGAGCTTCATCATCAGACGTCGAGGCAGAAAACCGTCTGTCGTTCCACAACAGCGTTTTTAATGCAGTTTTTGCTGCGCACCACCACTATGTGGAACCAGCTTCCCACTGAAGTACCAAACCAATTCGACTTAGGGTCCTTCAAGAAAAGAGCGTACCTTAAAAGGCCCGCAACGCACTCGCGAACCCTCTGGCATTGAGTGTCCATAGGCGGTATCACTTAACATTAGATAAGCCCGTTTGCCCCTTGCTCTATAAAAATGTTTTACAGAGTGTGGTGTCCTTAAGATGTTTTTAGGGTAAAAGTAACTATTTATTGTTCACATAATTCGATTGGTCGAAAGCCGTGGTTAAAACCTACGACTATACGATAAGATTCTTTCGCCTTTCACTGATCTCTAAGACACTATAACAGAGTGATAATACATTTTGTGGTCAATAGTTAATAAATAATTAAAAATGAGTATTGTCTTTTATTGACATAACTTTCACACATTTAATAATAAAACAAGCGTGCTTTACCGACCACGCACGCTGTAAAGCACGGGAAACGTCGGTTAAATTTAAAATTATGAAAAATAATTGTAAATACATAACTTCAATCCGGTAAAAAATTGTTTTATTATTAAATTAAAAATTAATTTAATCTTCATTTGTATTTTACTATATTCCTTTTCGTTTTGGGTTGTATAAGGACTTCTGAAAGCTATTTACGTTAAGACTTAGGAAAAATTTGCACGCTGCTCTCTGGGAAAATAGAATGGAATTTAATTATCTAAATTAGCATTTCGTAGACACAACAATACGAAAGCTTTAAAACATTATATTACAAACATAATTTAAATTATATGAATACGATTAATTTACATGTTTATGGTAATTTTTTAGTTAATTTGGAAACAACAAATCTTGACATTTCTAATTTTTACTGTCTTTATAAAATCTGTGCTCATGCAGTTTTAGTAAAATTCTAATCTGGAATTTTATTCTGGAATTTTTAAATCGTATATTTACAAATATAGATTGTTATAGTTCATTCAGATTGAAAAAAAAACGCACAGTAAAAATTGGCGTTCAAATGTCATCTTAATCTAAAATAATCTACAACACTATAAAAATGTTATCACTATTTGTGTGAGTTCAAATGGATTCGAGAATGGTTTAGTTTTACAGTTAAATGATTTTTTTTACATTTAAGAAGTCTGTCGGGTTCGCTAGTACTATATCATTGTTTAAAATCGAGCTGTATGAAGTTTATGTATGTATATCTATGTCTATTGTAAACCCCTCAGTAGGCGACTTCATTCAAATAATCAACTAATTCCATTCTGAAACAATTATTCCTTTCCTGGTAATTCAACCTAGAACCTCTACGTTATCTAATATTTTATAAATTGTCTCTGCACTGAGACATCATTTACCATTACGATCTAGCCTAACTAAAGACTATTAGGTCTTACCTAATGTACTAATAAGGATGTTTAACATAAGAATGTGTCCAATAACACGACTTACAGTCTCTATTAAGGGGAAGACACTCTTTTCTTGTGTTCCATTTTTTACCATAAACAGTGGTGTTTAACACATAAGATATTCGCACTAATTCATTAATTAGAATGGTTTTGTCCTTTTCAATCTTCCCACTGGTGGTGTCAAGAATAGCCTCGACATTCACGTGTTTGTGGAGCCTTTGTGACTCCAGCAATCTTTTTGTTTATTATCCTATTTTAAATGTAAAAAATCGAATTTTCTTTCGCATTTAACAATTAGAATGATATAGACCATCTGGAACTATTAATTTACAAAAACAAAAGCTTTCGTCTATTTTAATCTACGTGTGAACAAAAGCACCTTTGGCCGTCTGCCCATTTGTTTGTCTATTTCTGTGTAACAAGTTATACTAATTGAGTATGTGTCGGTTAACCAATGAAGATTTCGAATATTTATAATGTATGAATAGAAGTGGCAATTGCATAGCAAAATGCACAAAAAAAGGTGGACTTTAAAGACATATGGAAAGGACCAAGGGGAAGAAAAGGTGCCTTAAAATAGGTGAATATAAAGAAGCGGTAGCAGAAAACGAATAGAGAAAGAAAGACTCTTAGAGTATTTTGGAAAAAGTTGGAAGAGACCTTTACCCGATCAATGGTACTGAAGGAAGTTAGGATATACAGTAACAAGAAAAAAATATGTAAATACAACAAAAGTAAACTGTATATTGTCAACATTTGTAAAGACTAGAAATAAACGGGCTATTATTATTGCATATTATTATGTTTGGTGTTCACTTTAGCTTAGGATTGATTCATGATCCTGGAACCAAGTTGCCCACGGGCCAAAGCCAAGTGAACACAGTGTTTTTTTAGTTTACTATACAGTGAAATTTTGCGGGTGATTCTTGTCGCATTTAATATGAATTCCTTTTTGAAGGATAAATGGAATTCCGGAGGTCTAACAATTTGATCGTATAACTGTTTTGGTATTATTCCGGTGGTGGACAAAATTATAGGGACTATTGATACTTTATCAAGGGTCTTTTAATTTAATTTTTAAGATATTTTATGTGCTATTGTTTCTTATAAGTTATGTGTATTATATTATTATTATGTATGAATTGCCAAAGAGGCATTTCTGAGCCTGTTATTATTAACGTACGTAAATCGTGAACGTACTGAGAGACCACGATGACTCGAATCCATTTTCATGTTTGCTTCCGATATTTTTTCTTATGCATTGCGCACAGAAATTAATCTATTGTCCGAGCATTTGGTGCGAGCGCACGGCCACGGTTAAAAGGTCGTTAGTTAATATTTATTTATAAATATAGTACGAAAATTGTAGACAACGCCAACCGCACTAAGCACGTTTCTTAGCGTTTTTATTTCCTTATTGTATTATGAACAATGCATAATAAGTTTACATATACTAACAAGTTTTATTTTGTCTGAAAACTTACTCATTTACTTCAGTATGAGGTTACATAATTTTTACAGTTTATGCCAAAGCCATAAGATTTTTTAGAAGGTCCCTGAAGAGCAAATCATATAGTTGAAGGAAGCTGCATTTAAAAAAAATGGAATCTCGCTATTGACCTGAAGGGCCTTGGCAGCTCAGCTCGGGCTGTTTTGGCAGTTCGGACAACATTGTCATTTCCGATTAGCGCAAGGGCATCTCCTGCGAGACTAGGACCTCGGCTTGGGCCGCCGCGGGGCTGTCAATCGCCTGAAGGGTAGTAGATCACTGAAGTGAGCGAAGTGCGAAGTATACATCCCGCCTTTCTCGGTGGAGGCGAATTTTTAACGTAATCTGACTATGCGTTGCCGACGGCGGCTTTTAATTTGTTGTTCGCTTATGTATAACGACAATAAACTAATATCCCGTGCTTCAGTCTGTAATCTTAAATCTTTCCTATAATATTACTTTTTCTAAACTTACCGGTACTTTCTGATCCGTAGACATCGGGACACGCTTGATAATTCAGGAGAAGTCTGGAGTCCTCGGTACAGCTCTCTATGGATGATGCCGGAAACTTGCAGTCACCATGACCTCTGAAATATGTAGAATATAGTTGTAGCAAAAAATAAATCTTTGAATCCTATAAGCAGAGTCGGCATACTTTAGCGTGACCCTCTGCAGACTGAGGTCGAGCATTCATCCCGCCTGTGCTGTATAGACTTCTATTAACACTTGCTCGTATGGTGGGATATCATCGCTAGGTCTGTCTTAACCATGACGACACGTGTTAAGCACAGAAAGCTGATTAAAGAAAATATAAATTATCAAAGAAACGGGTGCAACCTGAGGTCAAAGCCCATATATATGGATTATCATCTAATAAGGAACCAGGTCATGTTGAAATCTATTTTTTTTATGTAATAGGAGGCAAACGGGCAGGAGGCTCACCTGATGTTACGTGATACCGCTGCCTATGGACACTCACATTGCTATTCGGCTCGCAAGTGCGTTGCCGGCTTTTGACAAATTGGTACGCTCTTTTCTTGAAGAACCTTAAGTCGAAATGGTTCGGAAATACTTCAGTGGGCAGCTGGTTCCACATAGTGGTGGTGCGCGGCCTATTTACCTATACAAGTAACATAAGAGAAACTTCCCTTATATAAGTGTATTTTTAAACACTTTATATGTTTTAAAAATATCAATATGACACTCAAACGAAAACAACTATAATCACAAACTCAATTTTCGAATATTTTGAAAGGTAAATAAATAAGTAAATACAGAAACTGTATATTACCCGAAGAAAACAAATCAAACAAACAAAGAATTTAAGCGGAATGAAGAAGTCGTAGTCTGTAATTATGAATGACGTCTGTCAACAGCCCCCAGTCGGATCGATCGGTGTAATGGCATTATAATTTTACCTACACACCAATACACTCAATAAAATGAGTTTTCGATGTATAATTTAAAAATTAATAAAAGGATTGAATACAAATAAGACATATTGTTTTAAACTTGGGGCACTCAGCAACTTTTAATCGTTCTAATATGTATGTGTCAGGAAATCAACCTACTATACCGCATATGCTATATGCCTGATCATTGGCTAAGAATACGATAGTATACTTAAAAAAATACATAAAATATATTTTGTGATATATATAATATATATATATTATAAAGCAACAAATACAGTATTCCTACACAACAGAACACGAACAATACATAGACTACAATTACAAATTATAAATGAGTGTCTTTTTTCTTGATGGTCTCAAAACGGGGCACTGATGATACACCGGCTGTTCGCTATGCATGTTTTAAGCAACAAATAAAAAGCCTTTAAAACCCATAGATTTTGACAGACAGAGCGAGCAGATTTAAATTCTTAACTTAATCATATTAAATAAATATAAAATCCATTACGTATTTAACTAGTACAAATTCTATGCGAAAATCGTTCCTGATTTAAAGAGTAAAGGTTGAGTTGAGAACAAAGCGTTGCGTCAGAAATGTGTTTCCTTCTTAAAAAATTCAGTAAAAAGCTATCACCTTGCTGCGTTTTATTCTTATGACTGCGGAACTAAGGTAGGTACAAGTTTTAGCTCTGTTTCATTTAAAATTAACACTATACACATTAAAAATATTTTTTTTGGCCTAGTGTCTTCAGCGTGCGACTCTCATTCCTGAGGTCGTAGGTTCGATCCCCGATCGACCAATGGACTTTGTTTTCTATGTGCGCATTTAAAGCTCGAACGGTGAAGGAAAACATCGTGAGGAAACCAGCTTGCCTTAGACCCATAAACGACGTCGTGCGTCAGGCACAGAAGGCTGATCTCTTGTGATACTTGCCTATTAGATCAACAAATTATCATGAAACAGATACAGAAATCTAAAACCCAGACCTAAAAAGGTGCCATTGATTTTTTTTTAAATAAATTACAAGACAACTATTTTATAAGGTTTCTACGCGTTTTTTATTCTAAATAATAAATCTAAAAGCTACATTAAAGACATTAGTGTGACACATAACAGAAATAGTGAACATACCTGTTGTATGTAAAGGAAAATGGCGCTTTTAGTGGACAGTCGACCGGCTCAGCATTTTCTCTGAACATTGAGTAAAGGAGAGCGTCGCCGGTGATCAAGGAACACAGATGAGGGAGTGCATCACGGCGATGACAAAACGCTGTAAAAAAGCACAATTGATGTCACACGCCCATGGGTATTCGGGTGCACTTATGTTATTTTGTCCTTATGAACTCCTTAACTAAGCGGCTATTATTTTGGCGAAAAGAATCAAAATTTATCAAACTGTTTTTACGTTGAACAAATAAATTTTATTTTTTAAGCCGGGTATCCACTAAGTTCGTGAACCTCTTGCGCTCCGCGCTCCCGTAACCGCTCTGATGGAGACGGTAACGCATATCTCCATAGCTCCACAGTCCTCTTGTCCACGAACAGACTGAGCTCCCCTTTGTGTTCGCCCAATTTACCGCCACCCATTAGAGCGCTGAGCGCGGAGCTCGCACCGTTCACGCTCCACGTTCGCAAACGTATCCACTACGCGGAGCTGTTGCAAGTGCGCGGAGCGCAAGAGGTTCGCGAACATAGTGGATACCCGGCTTTATAGTTGCCTCGGAAATAATACTGTACTGTAAACAAATTTTTCAATTTACAAATGGCAGGTATTAAAATTATTGCAGCAAGGCGTTGTGGTGTTTTAGTGGGTAGGAAATATTCACCGAGTCTAACAGAAACTATATATGTATATTTGTACCACGCCCTTGCCTTGTGTGCCTTTAAAGCTTAAACAAACATATTGTTTTCTCAATTTTTTTATTCGATTTTAGTAGAGAACGCCTATCGCGAAATATTTTTGTATAAATCACCTCGTTACGTGTTCTTTTTTTAAATAATTTTTTTTACAAGTTAATGTCTGTATTTCGCTGGCGTTAATTATAAATATTTTATTTAAAAATATAATACTGGTTTATTATAAATTGTTTACTTACTTTCTTTATACTGTAGAACATTAATATGCTTCTCGTGCATTACAACACAGCGATAGCATCCTTTCCTGAAATTACAATTAAACTTTTTAACAAGTAAATCTAAAATTAGTTTTTGCGGTAAATCTTGGAATAATTAGATTATTGGAATTTTAAAAAAGGAACAGCCAATTTTCATTTGCAAATTGTCAACATTTTATTATTTCCCCAGAAACTAAATCAGTCATTTGCCCACATGTCTCATACACAGCGTATACACAATTTGACATAAAGCGATAAAGGAATACCTTTAGAAGTGCAGGTAGATTTTGTTATGATATATCCTAATTTATGACCCCGGGTCGCAAAGCCAGAGGCAGGGGTTACAAATGTGAAAATGTTTTACAAATCCATTACATATTAAGGCAAATTTAAAGAAGTCTAAAAGAGGTAATTTTCTTTATTTATATTATTCATTTACACTTCGTTACATACATATACAAAGACAGGTAACGTAAGTAATTAGGCAACGGGCGGTCTTATCGCTAACAAGCGATTTCTTCTTTCCGTAGTATGGAAAAATTAAAAAAAGAAACACCTACTGAGGGTAAAGTTTGTACTGATTTTCTTGTGAAGTACATTATTAATAATCAACATAAAATTACATGCAACACGAGCAATATAGCAACTAAAACTAAACGAAAATAAAAAAATAACGAGCCATAGTTAATAGGTATATAAGTAAGCTAATTACGCGGCAGAAGATAAAAAATGATGAGAAAAGATGCTCAAAAAGAAGATTCTTGAATAATTTTAAAGTGAGTTGAGTTCGTCTGATATCAAGGTAAGGATGACAAAGAGTCAATAGCAAAGCTTCTATATATAGGTCGATATATTTTTAAATACATTTGTGTAATTCGAACCCAAAACTCTGAAAGAACAAAAGCACAGTGTGTATAATATCTTGATTCCAGATTTTATCGATGAAGAGCACTTCAAAGATATTTAGGCAGGCAATCTTTGTATAATACTGCCATTAAAATTATTGCTCAACTCGGGTTTATTTCATGTTTTACATAGATAACGGTAATTTATCATTTTTAAGAATTGTTACGCAATTAAAGATAAGTTTGTATCAAGTTTATGATTTTGCATAATTTGTGGGACCAGTTCTTCGCGTTTTTACATTGTTTTCTCTTAATGTTTTTTTTCTTAGCCTACCCTTTTAGCAGCTTATAAAACATTGTATATTATATTCTATAGAGACCGTTTGCTTTTCCGAAGGAAAATCTGGTTAATATTTAAATTCAAAGCAATTTTTCAAATTTTTCTCTCCATAAAAACCTTTCTCAGAGAATAAATTAAAAATAAAATACTCGAATTGATAAAGGCATCTTCGAGATTTGCTGCGAGATTTACGCTTAGCAATAATATGCGATTTTTATTAATATGTGACATTTGAGACAGGTATTCATGGAATATAAAAATTACTGTGTGATAGATTCTTTCACGTTATCGGCTGTACTATTTTTGAATAATTTTAACATGAGATTTTGATATGTTCTTATAATAAAGTTTCTATATATATATAATATATATGTTAAATTGACTTACTCGTCCACTATCAGAAACTTATCCCCTTCAGAAGACAGGCAGCGTCCCTTATTCGAAAGGATGTTACCTTCGATGACGATCGGCTGGATCACACCAGACTGGAACCACTTGCCTTGCCAACGAGGTGGAAAGATGCAACCTGAGAAAAAATTAATTAAAATTTATTTACCCAAAATTTTTAATTGTTCTTATCATTCCCGTGTAACTTTTGAACATACATAAATGGGATAAAACATACTTTAAAGTAAAGGAGTGTAAAACATACTTTAAAGTAATGGATTATTATTCCTTGATAGATCTTGATTTTTGTCTGTGGTTAAAATCGCATGTACTTGTCAAAGAATATAGGCTTCATTAAACTATACAATATAAACTTTCATCAAGATTGTTTTACAGGGAATCGAACCCTAGGTTATAGTCGTTAAAGCAAGAACAGGAACAGTGAGCCACAGAGCCAGTAATTGGTAATTAATACGAAAATTAACATTAAATTATAAAATATTTGAATCGAATGTAATCTGTGGATGACATTTCAAAACGTTTTTAACGATAATTATGTCATCACAATTTTGTACCATTTATTTCAGTCAAATTTTCATAATTAAAATTAACGTTTGCATTGTTTATACTATTTTATCGTTCAATTTCAACTATATTGTAAGAGTGAAACAAAACAGCACTGTATCGATTTCGATACAGTAAAAAAAAAAACAATAATTAATAAAAATGATTTGCCTAGGTATTCAAAGAATAACATTGTTTTAACAATATATGCACATAGAAATTGTCTTCTTATTTACAAAAGCCGATTATCTGATAATAATCGTAAATTATATAAAAAGTCTAATGGTTATGACATTTAACTGTAATAATATATCTAATATATAAAATTCTCGTGTCGCGGTGTTTGTAGTTAAACTCCTCGAAAACGGCTTAGAATCGGACAACATCTATTTTTCATCCCCCTAAATGTTAAGGGTAGTCCACCCCTATTTTTTTTTAATTTTTAGATATTTTTTTAATTTTTTTATGATACAGCACTAAAAAATACATACAACCCCTAATTTTCACCCCTCTACGATCAACCCTAATTTTTTTATTATAAATGATATACATGGCAAAACGACGTTTGCCAGGTCAGCTAGTTATAAAAGCTAGATAGTACATGTCCGCTGTTTGGTAGGAGCAAAATCATTTCAAGAGAACGCGGAGTGGGTTCAGGAGTGAATCCCAGTTGCCGACCCTCGCAAAAAGGGCATGAGAGACGACATCGCGATTACGCAAGTACTCCACTGTGACCTTTGTACCGGATTAGTGAACGCGGAAGTTGTGGTCGCAGTAGCGCAGCAGACGCTTGACGGGGACACGGGTTAAGGAACTGTTCTGATGCCTTCCGTCCATACCATCTCGCAAAAAAAATATCTCCCATATATATATATAAATAAATTGCTGTTAGTTTCTCTCGCTATAACTCGAGAATGGCTTGACCGAAATTGATTATTATGATCTTAAAATATTTGTGAAAGTTCAGGGAAGGTTTAAACGTTGGGAAACATAAATAATAAGTAAAGAAATATACTAAAAACGACAAATGAATTTTTCAATAAAATCTGTTCATAGGAGATACATATATTATAAAATAAAGACATTAAATATAGAGCCTTCAGAAATTTGTGTTTCATAGCTGAAGTATGAGGTAGTAGGTGAAGTATGAGCTCTATGGTCTGTTTTATAAATAAGTTTTGACACAAATATGTATATGTAAGTAATACGAAGTGCACCGGGTCTTGGTAAGGTTAAAAAAAACTTAAATTAGTTTCAATAAATTCTAACTTTGTTATAACTAACGCAAACATAATGTTTGAATATCGTTAGGGCATTCTTATAATTTTCCAATATTAACGAAATTTTCGATGAATCTAAGTTTCTGTCGAAGCTGATGGAGGGTTTTCTGCATCAATCTTATAAAATCGAAGTATCCGACTGTGACGATTGAACGATTTGAACGCTTAACTAGAGACGAAAAGTTGTATGAGAAATCTCTGTGTATATTGTTAGACATACATATGTGAATACATACTAAATTTTCTTTTAAATATATGATATGGTTACAGTGGGTTTTGATTCAACAGTTAATTATAAAAAAGTTTACCAAGAATGTAGCAATATCATAGAATATTTTTTAAAGATTTTTTAATTGTATAATTTTTATATAATATATAATTAATTATATGGACCTATTATACATAAATACAATTACACAAATAATTGATACTACACATTAAATGGAAACCTTTTGTTAACAATTTGACGTAATCCATTTGAATTGTGGTCACGAATTCAACACTCGATATTATATTTCAACTTGATTATTAATTATATTGTAATATGTTGCACACAAACAGATACAGGCAGACACAACCATATTTAGATTAAATTGAACTAGGAAAGGCCGTAGCAATTTTATCTTTTAACCTAATAAAAATCAAGTAATTATGTCTTTAACGATGTTATTAAAATTAAATACCATTTAATAGATTATTAATATTTAAAATTACGATTAATAAACGTGTTTTACATGAGTTATATTCCATTTTTACTTGATATTCCACCATTCACTCTTCACTCCACGCATATACTAAGATAATTATAATCACTATTATATAAAAGTTAATTAAGTGATTAAATTCAAATTTTGCATTAACTGTAAAAATCTTATTTATAGGCAGGTATAGGCTTTAAAAGCTGCAACAATGATGATCCCATACACCCACGGTACCAAAAAAATAATAATTATCATGTCGTGCGAAATCGAATACTCACAATGGCAAAAATTCGCGGAAGAGGTCTTTGTATGTAGTTTTTGAAGAAGATTCTATTGAATTCAAAGCGTCTTTTTTGTGATATCAAATTACGCTCACAGTTAGCTTGGAATTCCCTTTAACAATACTGAGATATAGGGAAAGAATGTAAGCTTGGTTAGTAAAGAGAAATTGTAATATTTAAAATGCATCGTACAAACCAAACAGCAAACGAAATTACACAAGAAATAATAAAACTGAATCCCTAATTCTGAATACTTAACCATCTCTCTCGTATATATCGCGCATCAAAGAATTTGAGGTTTTGTACATTCTTTTGTTTTTTAGTGTTTATAGATTATGATGAAGGTTATCAGGAAGATATTTCTAATAATTGTATGTTTATTTATTTATTAGTAGTCTTACAGCTAACGTATATATTATAACATGTCTTAATATATATAAATTACGTGTCACGTTGTTTGTCCGCTATGGACTGCTAAACTACTTAACAGATTTCAATCAAATTTAGAACTAACTTAAAAGATAGGTTAGCTTATCTTCATTTATACCCGTAATATTATTTTATTGCAAATTATTTGTTTATTATTTGACAGTCACAATTCTGCACTGATGGCGCTGTGTTGAAAGTACCAACGTTTCACATAAGGTACAATTTAATGGCATAACCACCAAAAAAATTACTGGTGTTCTCCTACCGTTTCCCTTGAATAGTTTACTACTATGTAATATAACAAAAAGTTTAGCCACAGCAAAGCTTGGCCGAGTCTGCTAGTATATTATAAAACAAAAGCAAAACACTTAAACAATATACAAAGCCAAAATAGAGATAATATGTATAAGTATATTAATAGACAAAATGAAAAAATAAATAAAAGCAAATTGAAATTTAACACGAAACAAACGACAATTAATACTTAATATTAAAAAGATAAAACTAAATTGTTACTGCTAAACAAAGTCAAAGTCTTCCCGCCTCTTCAAATATTTCCTCACATCCTCTCTGATGAGGTGGAAAATATCAACATCCTCATAATTAGTTTCATAGTCGGATAAGACTGGAAACATTTGCGAATTATGCAGGTAATTCGTGTTCGTACGAGGCACACTTGTGAGTATCTTGGTATATGGTGGAGGGATTCTTAGAAAAAAATATTTTGTTTCTTACTGTTTATAGATTAAAAAGGTTAAATAAATTTCAATAGGGAAGCAATTTTCAATTATTGCACGTTCATTTGTATTTTATTGATCTAGAAGAAAATAGATTTAAATTAGGAAGCCATTTTCAATTACAAGAATTGTTATCGTTAATAGATCCATACAGACCGCATCCGACAATAGCTTATGCCTATTTCCCTATGAAGTTAAATTAATATTCAACTAGCCATTTAATATGAGTATTGTGGTGTGATTATGCACAATAACCGGCAATGATACGGCGATTACAATACAATGCGTGCATCAATCGAGCGCCCTTTGCAGTCGGAATGAATAAAAATGAGGTATGACTGACGACTTGTTGAGAAGCAAACGAACCCGCATTATAATGGACTGCAGTTCCACTCGACATCTTTTGCCTTTAATCTTGTAAGCCATTCATGGTCTTATAAAGGAATAATTTAGGTTGAAAGTCGTTTAATACTCGGGTGATGTTTGTTCAACGATTAAACTTAACTACATTTTATTTTAATAATTCAATCGCCTCCGTACAGTGCTTTATTTAATACTCAAATGATTGATGAAATAACTGTATATAACGAACCTTTGATTGTATTTATAATATATTAGTATTTGCGTAAATTTATTTATTTCGTAATCCAGCTAACATAAATTATATATAACAAAAAAAAAACAATTTTACTAAAGACAAACATTTACATAAGGAAAAAGATATTCAATAAACACGTAATGTCAGACGTAAATTAATTTAATTCAAGTCGATATACTTAATTATTGAGATATTGAAAAGCATTGGTGCTTAAAACATGTTAAAATTATGTTTTTCACTTCTCTTCTTCTTTTGGGAATGAAACAGGTTTAAATTTATTTAAAAAAATTATACAATCTGTACTTAAGTTGGTTTAGGAACAATTTTTTATTAAATCTTATTATTACTACTAGTACACCAACTGCTCACTAGTAGCGCTGTCACAGAACATCACAGATTCTTTAACAATTTGATTTGACAATTGACGTATAAATCTTCTCTAACGAATATAAATGATATTATGTATATATATAGTATATACATATACATAACTCAATATTTTCTTTAGTGATCGGGATCGTGACTGACGTTGACAACTTTAATATTGTAATTAAAGTCTACTAATTATTCAAATTACTAAATTAAGTAATTCCAAAAAAATATTTTAATCAAAATCATGAAACTATTATATGATATTCGATTGGAATTATCTTTAATCTTAAATGGAAGGATCTTTTGCCCCCAAGTTGAACATACAGATAAAAAGTGGGCCTAATTTAAAACCTTCCTGGCAAAAACTTTGATTTCAAGATATTGAAGTAATGGTGTTTACAAACGCGACGGCGAATAGCCAACTAAATTGAACGATCTTTTGTGTAACGGCCGAGCACATAGAAGGCTACACTTAACATAGCCGGGTGGAGGTAATTACTTAATTTTGATTAAGAGACGCCGGCCCTTTATAAATCATTTTTGATTACAGCGCGGTAAGTTTTTTGCTATTGTATTTGTGAATATTTAATACTTTATAACCTTATGGGAAGGTAATGTTGTTTTTTTGTTGTTTATTGTCCCTTTTCGTGTTTTTTTAAGTACGGAAATCATGTATAAATAAGACAATATGAGAGGTTTTTTTACATAGAACTAATAGCCTATCAGGCACGCGATGAGGTAGATCTGTCAGCATGGGAGTGGCATCTCCCCCCTTCCTAAAAAGAGGGGGGTTTTTTGCTTAAACTAGGTCTGGTGGCCTTGATGTGACTATACAAGTGATATATACATATGAGTATACAATATACATAATACTTTTTTGTCTTTTTCATTATCATTCAATTGCAAATATGCAAACGCGATAAAACATTAATTAACTAATTGACGCTTGTAGTCCCTAATTAATGTAATTAATATAAATTTCAATACAAAAGTTACAAGATCGAATCAAGAATAAAATATAACCATAGAATATAGACAATTTATAATTTCTATGTGCGCATTTAACTCTCACTCGTACGGTGAAGGAAAACATTGTAAGGAAATCGACTTAGACCTAAGTTGACGCCTGTGTGAACAGTTGGCAACCCTATTACAAAAAACAAATGATTACGAAACAGATACAGAAATCCAGTCCGGATATAAAAGGTCGCAGTGCGGGTTTTAAAGTCGATAAAAATATAATCTTAATTATATAATCTCACGTGCATTATATGAAATAGTACTAATATTTTTTCATAGATTTACCATCTATGCGAAAGAGTATTTGAAAATTCTATTTGTCCCATTGATACTACAAAGTAAATTGCAAATCGTATAATTTCGAAGCTTAACAGGAAACTGTTAAATTATCATGACTCGTTTTTAACATACTCTTTTAGCCATTTCTTTGATTATATATTACGCATTGTGAACAGTGTTATTATAGGACAAAAAAATAAATAAATCAGTGACGCTACAACCTCATTAGATCTGGGCCTTACTAAATCTGTTTCATGATCTTTTTAAATCAAATAGGCAAGTAGGTGATCAGCCTCCAGTACCTGACACACGCCGTCCACTATTTGTATCTAAGACATGTCGGTTTCCTCACGATGTTTTCCTTCACCATTCTAGCGAATGTTAAATGCGCACGTAGAAAGAAAGTCCATTGGTGCACAGCCGGGGATCGAACATACGACTACAGGGATGAGAGTCGCGCGGTGAAGCCAACACTGCTCATTCAAATTATAGGACAAAGGACACCTAATTCCAATACATAGAGACTTCTTAATATAAGGTTAATATGCTGAAAAGTTTTCTGTACTTCTCTGGTATAAGTTCCGCGTTCATTACCGTTTTGAACTAAATAATAGCAAGATCCTAAGTCGAGACTTAGGATCTTGCTTGCAGAAACTATAATCAAACATATTTGACAGCGCTGAAGAAGAGACTTTGACTTGAGGTACAAATTAGAATATTACGTATGATGTTCAGCTTGAGCCTAGGATTATAAATCTTTTCAACGGTTTCAAACCCAGGGCCACAAACCAGCTGCCCACTGAAGTATTTCCGAACCAGTTCGACATAGGGTTCTTCAAGAAAAGAGCGTACCAATTCTTAAGTCTTGCATTAAGTGTCCATTGGCACTGGATAGAGTGCGCAAAATATTGTGAGGAATATACGTTTTCAAGGAATATTAAGAATGACAAGCACATAGCAGTAAACTAGATCTCTCCCGCGGAGACTCCCACACAAATATGTCCTGAGCTCTGACCGCGATAAAATTTAATTTATTTTCCGATATGACTTGTATTTATTGTACCGGCAATAAACAAGTTTTAAAATTATTTCCGTCTTGTTCAAGTTAAAATGGCGCTACAACCTTTTTAGGCCTGGCCTCAGATTTATCTGTTTCATGATCATATGTCAATCTAATAGGCAAGTATAGGGATCGAACCTACGAGGGATGAGAAGCGACTAGGCCAACACTGCTCCGTATCGTTAACCTCTACTAACATTCCAAAGTATCTATACACTTGTCATCAAATCGGACTTTCCCTAATCTTTGTAATTAACAGTAGATATTATATTGAAAGATTTTTATACTATTTGGACTCTTACCTAGGGATTTTTGAAGTGACATTTCTTTAGGCGCATGAGAGTAAAATTTTTACGGAACGTCACGAAGATGTGCAGCGTTTTTGTCGAAGAAATGGGAGAGAGCGATTGAGACCGATTGAGAGAGAGAGAGGAGGGTGAATTACCTTATAGAAATTCTATTTTTAAAATTAAAACTTTGTAAAGAGAATTTATGAAATATAAGTATTTTATATTTTATGCAAAATAATTTATTGAAATCTCAAATGACGAATTGTAAATTAAAATGCCACGTGTTTTTATTATGGAAGAAAAATATTATAGAAATTAAATTTATTATTTGTTATTATTTTCGACACTTAATTTTCTAATCAAAATTAAATTTATGAAAGTCCTAACATATCTTCCTTTTTCCCTCCCTCTAAGTCTCGGAAATCTAAAGTATTAGATTTGTATAAATACGAACAAGAGTTAAAAGCTAGTTTGCCAAAGAAGTTTCACTTGTGACATGTGTACTTTGTACGCACGCATTTTTTTTATAATTCTATTAAAAAAATGCGTGCGTGAGGAAGAGGCAAAGGTGTCGCAGGCTCTCCAAGAGATACTGACACTGCTAGAAGGCTCGCAAATACGACGGCCTTTTAAGAATTGGTACGCTCTTTTCTTGAAGACCCTAAGGGCGAGGCCCCACTACTGCGTTGCGTCGCGTCGTCGCATCGGATCGACGCATTGTATGCCACATCTGCGTTGCGTCAACGCATGACGTCGCGACGCAAGAGGGTATACACGCCGTCGCATCTGCGTCTTAGCCTTCGCAATGGACAGACACAAACTTGTTCTTTTGTTGCTTTTATTACGCCACCGTCGAATTAAACTTAGAAACCATAGAAGATTCTGGATATCTCCTCAGATATCATTAAGAAATAGTGATCACCCTCCCCCCTGCTTCGTCTCTCGTCCGTCGATCCGTTCAAATGTCGCGCGCGACGCAGCACAACGCACTAGTGGGGCTTCGCCCTTAGTCGTAATAAAGACAATATTTTTTTCCACTACTCGGACTACTTCACATATTCTATAAATTATGTTTAATACCGAGGTTTATTTTAATGTAGAAAGGTAGTTCTATACCTCTTTAATATGTAGAGCACGATATTGTGGGAGAAAATTACAAGAGATTGACAAAGATCTGCATTTCGCGTTCTAAATATCATTTATACAAAAGGTCGGACGGTCACAAATCGCACTTTTACACTGACCTTGTCTTAACAATCTACATACTCACTTGGACGGGGGCCAAAGCAAAGGTTAAATTAAAATATTTTGGAACCGAATAGGTTTAGGGGCTAACCGCAGAGAAAGCTCGGATTAAATAATAAGTTTAACTTGCTGAAATTTAAGCTCGAAAAGATGTGGGGTTTACGGCTGCGTTATATTAAATCGTATTTTGAAATTAAAAAATTAATTATACAGCTCTGCACTAGTGGTTTTAGCGTTCTCGTGGTCTTAGGTTCGATCCTCAGATACGCACAAATGGATTTTCGTCAACATCGACGTCAGACTGATCGCCTACTTGTCTATGATATAAAAATTATCAAAGAAACGGATCAATCTAAGGCCAAGATCCCCATACTATAGTATATTTTAAATTACTATAAGAAATTAAATCTTATTTGAAATATTTAAATTGAGATTAAGACTATGTAGTACCAGCTGCCGACTGAAGTATTTCCGAACAAATTTGATAGGGTCCTTCAAGAAAAGAGCGTACCAATTCTTAAAAAGCACTGGTGAGC